CTCACTCAGGCCCACGGGGACTCACTCAGGCCCACGGACGCCGCGCGCGCGCCCCGCCCCGCGACGCAGCGCCTTCACGCAGAGCGCCAGCCAATCAGTGCCCCTGACGAGGTTGCGCGAGGAACGCCGCGGGGGCGGGGCGGAGGCTGAGGCAGGGCGGCATCGGGTCCCGCCCTCGAAGGGGCGGGGAAAGCCCGGACCAAACTCCTCTGCTTGACTCTGGAGCCCGGGACTTGGCGCTAGGTGGGGCCGTGCGGCGCTGCCGCCGCCGGGGGGCGCCGTGGCCTCTCGGGAGGAAAACCAGCGAGGCGGGCGGCGCTTGGCGGGCTGCGGGCCTTGAGCTAAGGGCACCTTCCTAGCCTCCAGCCCGCCGCTGCGCTCGGCCACAGCTTGCAGGGACCCCGGGGAGGACGGGGACTGCGGAACCATAGGGCAGACGCCTCTTCCCTCCGGCTGCGGGCAGCACCGAGCGCCCAGCACCCGCCTGTTATGGAAGGAGAGAGTTCAAATTTGCCTCCCCGCCCTGCCGGGGGCGTTGCTTCCCTGAGCATGTCAGATCTTCCTCACGCCTCACGCCCAAGATGTGCGAGCCTCACATCTCACCTCAACTCACACCTCACACCTCACCTCGACTCACACCTTGACTCATACCTCACACCTCAACTCACACCTCAGTTCGCACCTCAACTCACCTGACAGCTCACACCTCATGACTCACACCTCACCCCGGAGCCATGCGGGCCGCCTCACACCTCACCTCAACTCACACCTGCCACCTCACCTCGTGACTCACACCTCACACCTTGACTCACACCTCAACTCACACCTCATGACTCACACCTGATATTTTATACCTCAACGCACACCTCACACCTCATCTCACATGGCGGAGCCATGTGGACCCACCTCACACCTCAACTTACACCTCATACCTCGCCTCATCCCGGAGCAGCACGGAAGACCTAAAGCCGCAGCAGCGGCTCACTCTCCTGCGGTGCACTAGGACTTCTCATAGAGCACCTGTGTATTGTGCAGGGGGGTGTTAGACTCCAGCCCCGCCCGGGCAGCGGGGAGGCCCAGGCGGGAGGCTGGGGCAGCAGGGAGGCCCAGGTGGGAGGCCGAGGCAGTGGGGAGGCCCAAGCGGGAGGCCGAGGCAGTGGGAAGGCCCAGGCGGGAGGTTGGGGCAGCGGGGAGGCCCAGGCCGCCCGGGTCACGAACAGGACTGTAACAGGAAGAGAACAGCCTGTGCTAGGTCCTGGCTCCGAGGACCGCGGCCGGCGGGGAGCCCGAGAGTCTCACTTACACTTTAAGAGGACTTCCAACTCACACTGTGCTCCGAAGAAAACCCCCGTGTGCAAAGCGAGCATGCAGGAAGAGCATGGCGAGTTCCCGGTCCCAGCCTCTGCGTCCCAAGAACCGAGCTCTGCTCCTTAGAACACTGTACGTGACAACACCCCAATCTCCATTAAACCAGAGGTATGTGTAGCCATGACTCAGAGAGGGAGAACCATGGGAAAGTGCTGATCCAACCCCACCCAACACCACACAGTGCCACAGTGTGAACACACAGCCAGGCCTAAGGGCCTGATGCCTGGACCCCCAGCTACTCAAGAGGCTGAGATCTGAATGAAGAGGTTTTAAGCCAACCAGAGCAGGAGACAGTCTGAGACTCTTATCTCCAATTAACCACCAAAAGGCTGGGTGGAGGAGTGCCTCAGGCTGTACAACACCATCCTTGAGAACAAAAAACTCAGGTATAGTACCCAGGCCCTGAGTTCAAGTCCCAATACCCAGCACAAGAAAAATAAGCAAAACATAAACGCAAAGAAACCTAAACTCTGTAGTTTGTAGTTTCTCAGAAGAAATGTAAAGTCTGTAGTTTGGATCTGGAATGTCCTCAGTGCTCACTCAGTCACCAGCTGTCAGCATTATTGGTAGATGGGGCTTGGGCTCTACAAATCACTGGGGCAAGGAGAGGAGCAAGTGTGTGCCCCCAAGCACTCCTGCTGTGGAGTGCTACCACAAACCCAACACAGGGGTACTATCCCACCATAGACTGAAAGGTAAAACTCTAAGACAAGAAACTATTTCTCTTCATAAGTCATCTCAAAGCTAACACTCTGAGCTTTGATGTTTGCTTGATAAAATCTTAATATACTAAAATAAAAAATACATCAATACCATAAAGTGCCAAAACAATCCTGGGAAAGAAGGAAGGTGGAAGGAAGGAGGGAGGAAGGGAGGGAATCCGAAGCAGCCTAATGTTCATCAAGAGAAGCACCAAACATAAATCTCAATGTTTAATGGAAAAGGGAAACTGCCAAAAATAGGTACATTGTGTCCAAAGTACACAAAGTTCAAAGTTTGCAAAAACAAATACTAGGCAGTGAATACATGCGCAGAATTGTCAACATCAAGTTCAAAACTACTGTTACCTCTGTGGAGAGAGAGGGGAAATGAGATTGAGATGCGGAAGAAAAGAAAGGGGGAGAGAGAACAGGAATGTGCTGTAGGTTGTCTCAATAAGGAAAGAAATCAATATTGGCAGATAGGCCTCCAGAGAAGAACAAAACTTCATGATAAGGCCAGGTCCAAGGGTCTCACACTCCTCTTTCTCACTATTCAGGAGGCTGAGATCTGAGGATCGAGATTTGAAGCCATCCCAAGCAGGAAAGTCTATGAGACTCTTATCTCCAATGAGCTGTCAAAAATCTAGTAGTGGAGCTGTGGCTAAGGTGGTAAAGTGTCAGCCTTGAGCAAAAATGTCAAGCAAGAATAGGAGGCCCTAGGGAATTACCCAAGTGCGTGACACACACACACACACACACACACACACACAGAGAGAACCCCAAAAGCAATGAAACAACTTGGCCTTCTTCTTTCATGTTCTCTTTGGGCTGCTGCCAGCACAGAAGCTCATAATTCTAGGTAGTTGGCAGGAAGCAGATAGGAGTCAGGTGTCAGCAGACAAAAAGGAAAGGCCTCACTCTTGCTGATGCATGGCCCTCTTGTTCCCCCTCTCTGGGATGGGAGGGAAGGCCCTCAGACCTGTGATGGCTTCCTAGGCTCTTGGGAACCTCCGAGTTCATTTTTTCTCAGCAATCAGCAGGAGCACTCGTGCGTTTCTGGGCTCTGTGACCTCGCCTTGCTCGCCAGCCTTCAAGGACAGGAATGCACCCACAAACATTTGGCTGACTGAAAGCCCAGGGAACTAGCTTGTATACGTGCATGTGTGCCTGCCTGCATGCTCTCAAGGGAGCTGAAGGCTCGACCTGAACATGGAACCAGGCCAGAGCCTAAGGCTGGCCGTTATCTCTGATCCTGAGCCATCCTGTCCCTGAGCAGGACCCTGGTGTCCTGCCAAATGGACGGGCTCTTGCTTAGTCTAATGAAGCCCTTGCTGACCATCCTGATGAGGTCCCAGGAGACCTGAGCCAGGAGGTTTCTGCTGCCAGCCCTGGTCCCTGTGTCCCCACCCTGGCAGATAGGGTAGCCCCTCCCCATTGCGTCCCCAGCACCAGGTCTATGCACAGGGACTGAACCACAATGACAGCAACAGCTTATTAATTGGACTAATGAGAGGCCTGGGCCGGGAAAGACGCCAGAAGAGTGAGAAGGAGGTGGATGAGGGCAGGAGCATTCGTGCCACAGGAAGAGATGCAGACGCCTGGGTTGGGAACCCCGTTCTCCCTCGGAGTGCTCGGGGAGGGACTGAAGATGGTTGTTACAACTCACATGCCTTATAAACGAACAGGTAGAGTAGTGTAGAATTCATCATCTTCCTGCCTCAGCCTCCAAGTGGTGAATTATAAGTGTGCACCACCAAAACCAGGTTAGTATTTTTTTTGTATTCCTGGACTTGAACCAAGGGCCTTAGGCATGTGATAGACAAGTGCCTTACCATCAATCTACTCCCAGCCCTAGAAGTCCAGGCTCTCAGTCACCACCATTTGGAGAGTGACAGGACATGAGGATCAATACATAAGTAGCAGTCCCTGGGCATTCCTTGATGTGAGACAGAGCACTAACATCTTCAAGGTGCCAGGCACTGGCGGCTCACGCCTGTAATCCTAGCTACTCAGGAGGCTGAGATCTAAGGATTACGGTTTAAAGCCAGCCAGGGCAGGAAAGTCTGTGAGACTCTTATCTCCAATTAATAAGCAAAAAGCTGTGAGTGAAGGTGGCTCAAATGATAGAGTCTTGAACAAAAAGGCCAAGTAAGAGCACAAGTCCCTGAGTTCTAGTCCCAATACCAGCACCAAACAACAATGTCATATTCAACCCTATGATGCAGCTATGCTTGTTTCCATGTTTTATAAATAGGGAAAGCTAGACTCAGAGAAGTGAAGCCATAGGCTAACGCCACATAAGTAGGAAGTGTCAGAGACGAGAGACTGGTTTCCCTGCCCCCTTCTCCAGGCTCATCAGGATCTGCCTTTGCCATGGGCAGGCATCTTGCATGAAAGAAATGAGACGTTCTGGTTTTCCACAGAGGAAGCGCCAAGGTGATAGAGGGGGCTAGGGCCACCTTGACATAGCCAGTGGAGCAAAAGTTCTAAACACATTTGGGGTCGGGTTGCAGGAGGCAGCTGCACCTGCAGGGTCCCTTCACAGTGCCCCAGGTCCAGCTCCTGCGAGATCCAGAAGGCCTGAGGAGTGACACGGCATGGTATTTTCCTCAACATTATTTTCCCATTTTGCTTGGCATGGGGCTTGTACTCCTGGCCGGGATGATTTCCCTTAGCTTTTTCACTCAAGATTGATGCTCTATCACTTGAGCCACAGCTCCATTTTGGATTTCTGACTAATTGTAGATAAGAGTCTTAAGGACTCTTCTGATTAGGCTAGCTTCAAATTGTGACCCTCCAGAGATCAGAGATCTCCTAAGTAACAAGGGTGATGGGCGTGGGCCACCAGCTGTTTCCTCCACATTTTGAGGTTTCTGTCAATGAGGGTCATCTTCAGAGGTCGTCGCAGCCAGAGGCCTGTTTGTCCTGAGGAGTTCCAGCTGAGCAGCCACCGGGAACCTGCTGCCACACAGCTGGTAGGGCTGCCAGGTCAGCATGTGGCAAGTGAGTGGGGCTGGCAGGGGCCGGGAGGGCTGGCGGGGCAGGCAGGGGCAGTGCCCTCCTGGCTCCGCGGCCGACTTTACACAGTGGAACCGGGCAAGGGCATGGAGCACTGCCAGATGTACCTAGCTAGCCATCCTCTGCTATGAACAGATTTCATTTTTTGAAAACACAATAGTAGTAATATTAAATTCTTATAGGCAAATTCAAACTTGTTACCAGGAAAATACAAAGGAGAAACTTCCCCTCACCTAAGATAGCTTCTGATGGTCATTTACTAGTTATCTTCTCCTACTTTATCTATGTAAATTGTGATATAAATATAAATGTGTTTTTTTATTTAATTGTGTGCGTGCGTGT